GCCCGGCTATTTTTTGGTTGCAGCCGTCATTGTTGCTTGGCGGGTCCAGGCTGGGGATTCGAACCCGCCACCTTAGGTGTACGTGGCTGGCGCCCTAGCCGGTTGAGCTATAGGCGCCGAGCCACATTAAACATTTTAATGGAAATTCTCCGGCTCACTCCCCAAAATCAGTGATTCCAGATTACCCTCTCAACACTGGTTGTTGTTGGTGTTTGGCAGCTTTGCTTGCTTGGTGGATAAAAATTGCATGATAAGAGGGGAGGCTGAGGCCTGGGAGAAGTAGTGGGTTTGCCCAGGAAGTCTGAGAGTAGGTCTCTGGTCTTTGGAATTCCTCTGTTCCTGTTCCCCACACCTCATATGTGCCACTCAGACTCATGAACAAGCTGCAGCCAGGCTCAGTCCCCAAGATCAACCGCTCCATGCAGAATTGGCACCAGGTAAGTTAGGACAAGGTTGGGGGAGCTCCACCTGACAGCTAGGTAGACTGAAGTCCCCTCATCATCCTTCTCCTTCCTCCTTGTAGCTAGAAAACCTCTCCAACTTCATCAAGGCCATGGTTGGCTATGGCATGAACCCTGTGGACCTGTTTGAGGCCAACGACTTGTTTGAGAGTGGGAACATGACACAGGTGCAGGTGTCTCTTCTGGCCCTAGCTGGGAAGGTAAGGCCCAGAGACAGGCAGCAACCTGCCCAGAGTCACACAGTGAGGTGGCTGTAGGTGTGTCCATGTTCTTCATTCACTCATTTGCAAATATTTCTGAGGGCACTTTGAACTCCATGGTGAATAAGGCAAACACGGTCCACCCTGTCCTGAGTGTCAGCCTGGTGGAGGAGGCAAAGATGCATCGTCTGATGGAGGAAGCAGACAAAAAGGAACAAATCATTTTTTATACATTATAAATAAGCTCTAAATTGTAAGACAAAGCTTGAAAGAGAAGAAAAAATTAGACCAATGTCAGGAGCATATAGTGACCCTCTAGCCAAGACCAGGAGCATGGCTCGGCGCCTATAGCTCAACCGGCTTAAGGCGCCAGCCACGTACACCTAAGGTGGCGGGTTCGAATCCCCAGCCCAGACCCGCCAAACAACAATGACGGCTGCAACCAAAAAATAGCCGGGCGTTATGGCGGGCGCCTGTGGTCCCAGCTACTTGGGAGGCGGAGGCAGGAGACTCGCTTGAGCCCAGGAGTTGGAGGTTGCTGTGAGCTGTAATGCCACGGCACTCTACCCAGGGGGACAGCTTGAGGCTCTGTCTCAAAAAAAAAAAAAGACCAGGAGCATGAGTTAGAATGGTATTTTGGGCAGAAGGAAAAGGAAGGTCCGACATTGGGACTGGCTTGGGAGTGCTGCAGGAATAGGGAGAAGGTTTTTATATTGGGAAGTTGTACTTCGGATGGAGTTTTCAGAAACCCTCCCCCCTTGTGGCTGCCACATGGGGAGTGGAAGCCATGGAGGAGCTAGGGGAAGGTATCCTGGTGGGAGTTGGGGGCAGTTGCTTAAGGGGCTGGGAAAAGAAGATGGTAGAAGAGAAGAGAATTCTTGTTCTGAGCATTAGAAGACTAAGTCTGCTATCACCTAAGGTGGGGTGGCCGGAGCTCCATCATGGGCATGTAGAGTCCCTTAGGCATGAACCTGGGTTTCCAACTGCCCTTCACTAATACTCCCCACTTTTTCCCCATGCCAGGCCAAGACAAAGGGGCTACAGACTGGCGTGGACATTGGTGTCAAGTACTCAGAGAAGCAGGAGCGGAACTTTGATGATGCCACCATGAAGGCAGGACAGTGTGTCATCGGGCTGCAGGTGGGGGTGTTGGCTTCCCCAGCCTTGGGGGCTACAGCAATGGGGATGACCTGACCTCCTGGATCCCTGTGACCTATTCAAGTTTGGGGGAAGGGCTGGAGGCCAGTCGTGGGGAGCCTGACCTTTCCTGCCCACCTCCCTACAGATGGGCACCAACAAATGTGCCAGCCAGTCGGGCATGACAGCATATGGCACAAGAAGGCATCTCTACGATCCAAAGAATCATATCCTGCCCCCCATGGACCATTCAACCATCAGCCTGCAGATGGGCACAAACAAGTGTGCCAGCCAGGTGGGCTCCATCTGGGTCCCCCCAGACCCCTTGCCCACCTCTCTATACCCTGTTCCCAAGAGCACCTCCTTCTAGAAATCTCACTGTAGGTTTCTCTCTTGTGTCTCCATCTCTGCCTTTGACTATAGCTCTCTTTCCACCTTGCTATGTGTCTCCTAGGAAGTTACTACCTTACTCTGTACCCTAGTTTCCCTCAAGTTTGCCACCTAGTTCTTTTTTTTTTTTGAGACAGAGCCTCAAGCTATCCCCCTGGGTAGAGTGCCGTGGCATCACAGCTCACAGCAACCTCCAACTCCTGGGCTCAAGCGAGTCTCCTGCCTTAGCCTCCCAAGTAGCTGGGACCACAGGCACCTGCCACAACACCCAGCTATTTTTTGGTTGAAGCTGTCATTGTTGTTTTTGGTGGGCCTGGGCTAGATTCAAACCCGCCACCTTAGGTGTATGTGGCTGGCGCCTTAGCCACTTGAGCCACAGGCGCCGAGCCTTGCCACCCAGTTCTAATATTTTTAGATCCTGTAATTCTCAGGTTTTCTGCCATATTGAACATATCAGTGTGAATGTTTTGGAGCCCTCAGATCCCCAGGAGGTCTCAGCTCTAGCCAGGATGAGCTTCCTAGTTGACAGGGAGAGAGCTGGACCCAGACATTACTGGTTCTAGGGAGTCAGAGTTGAGATGGGCAAGAAGGACCCTGGCAATGAAGGTCCATACTCATACTCTGCATAGAGTCAGAAAGGAGAGGGTGTCTGTGCAAAGCTTGGAGGGACCACAGGAGTTATGCACTGTGAGTTCAAAGGCAATACAGAGGGAAATAGTGTGGGAATTTGGGAAGGTCCCCTCTTCTTTCCAACCTGACCACCCTCTCGCTTCCCTTTCCAGGTGGGCATGACAGCTCCTGGGACCCGGAGGCACATCTATGATACCAAGCTAGGGACTGACAAGTGTGACAACTCCTCCATGTCCCTGCAGATGGGCTATACGCAGGGTGCCAACCAGAGCGGCCAAGTCTTCGGCCTGGGCCGGCAGATATATGATCCCAAGTACTGCCCACAAGGTCCAGCTGCCGATGGAGCTCCACTGGATGCTGACAATTGTCTAGGTTCAGGGGAAGGCCCAGAGTATCCCCCCTGCTACCAGGAGGAGGCCAGCTACTGAGGCACCCATACATGCTGTCTCCCCACATCATCATCTTATCTGGGTTTTGGAGTTTTTCTGTGTGTTTGTCTTGTTTTTTTTAAACATGTGCTGCCAGGGAGGGTTTGTGGGAGTCTGAGTGGGATCAGGTGGCAGATCCCGCTTGTCTTGAAGAACTGAGCCACCAGGCTGAAGGGGAAGGGACCATATCCAGATGCATGTGTGTTTGGGTGGGGGCAGGATCCCTGCCAAGGCACATGCAAGAGGTGGACTGAGCCACGTTGGAGAAAAGAGACCTGTGCAGGAAGGGGAACTGGCCCCAAATGGTTTCCAGTTTCAGCTCCTCTTCCCTTTTTTTTTTTTTGAGACAGAGTTTCATTTGGCACCCTCAGTAGAGTGCTGTGGTATCATAGCTCACAGCATCCTCAAACTCTTGGCCTCAAGCAATTCTCTTGCCTCAGCCTCCCAAGTAACTGGTACTATAGGCACTCACCACAATGTCCAGCTACTTTTTTTAGAGATGGCATTTCACTCTTGCTCAGGCTGGTCTTGAACTCCTGAGCTCAGGGAATCCACTTGCCTCGGCCTCCCAGAGTGTTACTATTACAGGTGTGAGCCATCGTGCCCAGCCCTTCTCTTCCCTTTTGTCTACCAATCAGTTTGTCGTTTCTGTGCCCACAGAAGTTTCAGGAAGTTTTCGTTTGTTTGTTTGTCAAAACAGAGTCTAATTCTGTTGACTTGGGTCATGGCTTGCTACAACCTCATACTCATTAAGTGCAAGTGATCCTCTTGCCTCAGCTTCCCAAGTAGCTAGGTCTATAGGTGCATACCACCACACCCAGCTAGTTTTTCTGTCTTTAGTAAAAATGGGGTCTCACTCTTGCTCAGGCTAGTCTAGAACTTCTGAGATCAAGCAATCCACTCACCTCAGCCTCCTGGAGTGCTAGGATTGTAGGCATGAGCCTTGATATCCAGCCTAAAAGAAAATATTTTTTCCCCGGGAAATGGGTTAGGCATGGTGGAGGGGTGCAGGGAGGAGAGTCCCTTGGGAAAGAGACAACCACAGTCCTAAATTATTTTAGGAACCTGCCCAACTGGGTTTCTTTAGGACCCTCAGACCAACAACTCTGGTGGCCCAGGGGCCCCATGTGAAACCTGAGGCTCATGCATGACTCTGGAGTTCTAAGTAGTTGAGGCAAAGGTAGACCCCCCCACCCCCCGTCCCTGAGCTCATCCCCACCACCCCCCATGGAGCCTCAATAGGTTTTATTTTTTATTTTATTTTATTTTATTATTATTATTTTTTGAGACAAAGTCTCACTCTGCTGCCCAGGTTAAAGTACTATGGCACCAGCCCAGGTCAAAGCAACCTCAAAATCCTGGGCTCAAGCCATCTTTCTGCTTCAGACTCTTGAGTGGCTGTAACTTTAGGCACTCATCCCATTAGCCAGCTAATTTTTTCTATTTTTAGTAGAGATGGGGTTTCACTCTTGCTCAGTTTGGTCTCCAGCTCCTAAGCTCAAATGATCCTCCTGCCTCAGCCTCCCAGGAATGCTAGGATTTATAGGCGTAAGCCACTGTACCTGGACACCTTGGCAGGGTTTAAAGAGTCCCCAGTTCCCTTCTCCCCTTTCTGGGCCTGACCCACTGTACTACCCTGTCTCTTGCCTGTCAGTACTACCCACAGATCCCCAGCTGGGCCTCTGGGCCATGAGATAATGTGAATTACCGACTCTGGACCAAAAGCAATAAAAACTTCTGTTTTTAGGAGAACAAGGTGTCTTGAGAGAGTTGTAGTCAAACTCTATCTTGGTGGGGAGAGGGCTATTTTCCTTTGGTCTTTTCTGGAACCCTGTGAGATGGGGGTTCTTGCAAGGAGAAAACATCCACAGCAGCCTTGAGAGAGGGAGAAGCTGAGGCCCAACATGAGTTGGGGTTGAAAATGATCACAAGGGGCTCGGCGCCTATAGCTCAACCGGTTAAGGCGCCAGCCACGTACACCTAAGGTGGCGGGTTCAAATCCCCAGCCCGGACCCGCCAAACAACAATGACGGCTGCAACCAAAAAAT